CAGAGCAGCTATGAACCTGGGTCCTAAGCTAGGAAGGATAAAAAGCAGAAATGTAATTTCAATGACTATTGTTCTAACTTATAAAATATTGATCTCAATCATTCTGTCTCACTTCTCCCTGATGTGAAAAGTAACTTGAATCATCTTATACATGGATCGCATTTATATTTTGTATTGTTATTTTTGAGGGGAAAATAAACCTTACCCTACATATGAGAGGAGAATCAGATACAAATTATTGTAGATGTTTTCACAAGGATACTATTTTAGGACAGACAGAGGAAAGGCTATTTAACTAGTTGTTTTGGTTGCTTTGATATGATCACAGCAGCTGCTAATATGGATTGTCAAACCAGAGATTATAAAAGGATATAAATGTAGTTTTTATTGAACAAAGTAACAGTCCAAAAAGGTAGTTTCAAAGGCAACTAGTTCTTTAATTACAGCCTTCAGGGGCATTGTTTGATCACTGTAAATAGGCTGCCTTATTTTAGCTTTTGCTAAAATGGTTTTGCATTGTATTCTCTACAGTTTTCTGGAATCGAAAAGAATCAACCCTTAAGGTTAATTGACTTCCATTTTCAGTGTATTTTATGCTTTCTTTGTGGTTAAACCCAGAGAATTGGCATGCTGACAATGAGTAATGCACTAAGTATGACATTTTCCATTTTTTCCCATGGGTATATAACATACTATATCTGGGGTTCCATGGTGCACAGCTAATCAGCTTCAGCAAGGGTTTTCTGATTCACATAGGCACCCGGCAGGAGCTCTAACAATAAAATTAATCCTGCTGGTATGAATGGGAAAAGAATTTTTGTCTATTTGAAAACTTGGTTCTAATTCTCAACAACAAACATATCTGGCAAAATTAGCAGGATGACAAATCTCATGGCTAAATTTTAGGCAAGAAAAATGTTACCTCATATTGTATTAGTCCAGACAAACTGCCAAACTAGGGCTAAAATCAGAATTTAGGCTATTTAACATAAGACAAATTTGTAATTATAACCAATACCAGATAGTTGTGCACAAAATGTATTGATAATTGTGAGGGATATTTTTATTTGTTTATTTAAACAGTGCATATTAGGCCAAATCCTGATCTTCACTACAGTAGTGTAAACCCAGAGCACCTCCACTGAAGTACAAGGATACTCAACACATCTTTGGTATGGAGACAAGGATACATGGGGATGACAGCCAGCAGTAAAATGAAGAGCTGGGCTATGCTTTTAGAGAGCAGGAAGTGTATTTTAAAAAAAAGATTCACTAACAAAACCAGCTACTTTGTGACACACTGCTACTAGACAATGTGTTAAACGTACAGCATTGGATTAATTTAGTCAAGTTTAAAAAATGGTTGTGAAGGCAACTGTAATGTCCATCTGGGGCCCTTGTTCTACCACACTGTGAAAGGGGAGGCTCAGGGACTGGGGCCAAATGGGAAGCCTTCAAACCAGCAGAGATCACCAACATCTCAGAATGGGAGGGGGGAAAATTGCCAGATAAGCCTTGTTGTTTTAAGTATATTCCCTAGTACTAGCCAAGAGAATACCTCTAAGTTGGCCTGTAAATGGGCTGAGCAATTCACACATAGCTCAAAGAAAGCTTGCTAAGAAGGGGAGGGAGAAGAAGAAATTAATAGCATATAATATTCACAGCAATCAGGCTCTTGATTTCTATACTGTACATGAGGGGTGGAGAGGTTTTATTCATCAAATAAAGAGGATGACTAACGTTAGTGCAGTTTCAAGTCACTCACTGCACCATGAAATAAAATATTGCCTATATGTTTTCAGGATGGCATAACGTTGCCTACAGAGCAGAGCTAAAGCGAGGAGAGCTCTGACACTTCTTCATGTGGTCGCTGGAGCATCATCAGCTGCTGTAACCCACAGAGGCCAGGCAGGATGGACAGGAGTAGTAGTGTTAGTCAATGTGGTACTGGCAGCAGTGCAAAAGAATAGCAAGAAGTGACAGGGTTCCGTTTTTGCAATAAGCAAGACAAATTGGTTCTTTTATAGTGACTCAAGGCAGTGACTTTCCTGGTTTTATATGTTTAGGGCCGGATTAACTGAGCGTGGCTCAGGAAGGCATAAACTACACCAGCTCACACCAGATTGTTGTTTGTGCTGCAATAGTTTTTAGGGACCATAACCATAGGTGAGGACTCCACTGTGCTAAACACAGTACAAACATGGAACAAAAAGACAATCCTTGCTTGGGGAGTTTACAGTCTAAGTAGAATGGCCCCCTGCATCACAGGGGGAATTCATTATGAGGGCACCCAGCAGTACTGCCATCATCTCCTTCTCTCAGTCCTGTGTGTGTGTGAGAAATAGGCTACGATGTACTTCTATGTTCTGCTGGAGGAGAGAAAATACTGCTCCACTCTGCTTCCCCCTGCGGGGAGCAGAAAAATCAGTCTTGCACATGCCCCCTGCAGGGAACAGTAAGGATTACAATACTGTAGTAATTGGGGAAAAAACACTGCGGGGGGCAACCTTGCCTTGCTGCCTCTGTAGGCAATCCAATGAAGTGGGAGTGTTCTGGGAATAGAATGGTTTTGTTGGGGATGTTTTCACTGCGGAGTTCGCCCAGGCTCTTACTCAGCTGTTACCGTAAACCATTTCTCATCCACACGCACAGACCTCTCTGGGCAGACTTTGGTAGTGATTTCAGTCCAGGCTGGCTGGGGGGTACAAGTAAGGCTAAAGCCTGAAGGAGGCTGTGTTGTGACATGTCGGGGAGTCCCTGACTCTGCACCCCCATCCACAGTCAGATGTGAGACTCAGCCAGCAGGCAGAACAAAAGGTTTATTGGTTCACAGGGACACAGTGTCGCTTAGGATCAATGTTAACACAGGAGCCAGGGCAGACAGCATTATTCTTCTCTGGGAGAAGGGGTCCTGGGCCCTTCTCCCCCATTTCCTGCCCTTAAGCCCCTTCTCTCCTCCTATCTCAGACAAGAGTGACTCTTCTCGCAGGCCCTACCGGCAGCCTGGAGTCAGCCCCGCCTATCCTTTGTCTTCCTTCTTGGCCAGGAGTTATCTCTTATGTCTGACCCAATACATATCTGAAGTGAGTCACGCTCAGCCTCTCCCCCCTCATGCAGAGAGTGTTGTGGGCGGGGGGAGAGGGCAACTGAAGTACACACACACACACACACACACACACACACAGCACAATACAGCAAAGAGTGAATGTAACAACACCCTCACTATGCCACAGACTGTCCCGCTGGCGGGTTACCCATGCACTCAACAGTGAGGATGCAGGCTGAAGTAATCAAGTGTTCTTAGTCCTCCAATACCTTCCCACCATTCTACCTTCCCCACACATGCCTAGAAGGAAAACCATGGGATATGCCCTTGCAAAGCATATCAGGCGAAGATAGCACAAGTGAGGACACAGTAACACAGGAATAGGCACGACTTTTACTCTAGCCAGGGCTTGCTTGATTCCCTGCTCTTCCCCAGGTCCTGCTCCCACTTCATCCCTTCGCCCAAGTCCTGGCCCCGTCTTGTCCCATGTGTGCTCTGCTGCCTCCATTCCACCCCTTCCTCCAAACCTCCATCGCTTCCTCAGCGTGCACAACATTCTCACGCCTCCCGTTCCCTCCTGCAGCCATGAAAGATGAAGTGCTGGGAGGGAAGGGGAGGAATAGGGGAGGAGGAGCAGGCAGTAGGAGCTCATACCCAGTAGTCAATCATTCATGTTAACTCTCCATGAAGATACACCTTCATGTCTTGAACCCAGGTGAATGTTGTAGATGGAGAAAGACCAATTCCTTTGCTTTCCCAACATGTGCTAAAAGTTGTAGGGAGAGCTCTTTTTCTGGACTCTCCTCCACTCCTGGAAATGACTTTGGAAGATAGTTCCCTCCCCTTCACCAGTGGGTTTCCATATTCCCAGTGAGAAGTGTAGGGGAAACTTCATTTCTAAGGGAATGTTGAATATAGCCTTCATTACAGAGAGGCTGCCATTTCTTCAACATATCCTCTTTTAGCTTGTGCTTTATTCTCCTTTAAGGATCAAGTGCAAACACCCACTACCAAAAATAATGGAGTAGTGCTTTTATTACCCAGATGTTCAAGATTGGCTTTAATACTCAGGGTGGTGTGTGGTTTTGTCACTGAGTTCGTAAATGACTGCAGTGAGTTCACAACTACACCCTGGGCTGAGTGAGAGAAGTTTATTAGCCCAGGATAGGGTTATGATTTGGATGCAACCTTGAATCCCTCTTAAGAGAATGAAATCACCAGCAGATAGTATTTTTGGTATAGCTGTGAAGTTGAGATGGTCATTCCTTATGTAGTGTCCACGAGGCTGATGAATTCTGCAGGCAAAGTACTAAGATTTGTGTCCTGAACAGCTACTGAAAACTACTGCAGTTTGAGAGTCAGGATTATACAATATGCCTACTCTCTGATTGACACAGACTATGCTATTACAATGTAGAAAGATTGAAGGGCTGATCTTTTTAGGCTCTTTTTTCTTCATAATGGTATTTTGAGGTGTTATTGGGAGCTACAAAGTGTATATGCACAGTTGCGGCTGAGCCAAAGTGCACTGAAGTCAGAAGAAAGGTGTCCTTTCACTTCAATAGTCTTTGCATCAAGCCCATGGAGAAGAAACTCCCTTGTTTTTAATATCATGTATCCTATAGGAAATATTAGGATCATATCCCATATAGCTTACTGAACATACCGTAAATCTCAATAGGGCAAACTTTGATTGTAGAGTGGTTTTGATCTTTAAGTGTTAAATAATACCAAAGGAAAAAAATGAGGTTGAAAACTTGGTGGCAGGGTCTATGATACTGAGAGGGAGAATGAAACCCCAATTGTTATTTGAAGATCATGTAAATTTCACATAACTTGTTTAAATGGCTTTTAGTGACTATGTAGAAGGAACTCTTCCAACAAAAGCAGTAGGAGTATTTTAAATAGTGCTTGCAATTTTGTATCATCTTTCTTTCCTTTTGTATTTCCTTAGGCTCCATTTATGAAATGTTTGGAAATGAATGCTGCCTGCCAACTGGAGAACTGATTAAAGTTACTGGGTTCAAAATTAATAAGATCATTGCAAGCATCTTTGAGAATAATGAAGACAGCCAGTGCTCAGCCAGAATTGAGTTGCCTCTGAATTTTCCAGGTACAGTGTTTCACAAATATATGTTACTGAGGTTTTATAAATCCCATTGTTACTTTTATTTGTTCTGTTGTTTCCTTATGCCTGATGATTGTTGAGGTCAATGACCTTTCTAATTTTTTCCACTAATGTGTAGAATAAAATTTGTTATGTGCACTGAGGCAAGTAGAAATACATGCAGCCAGCTGTGTGTGCTGTAGGCACTTGGCTAATCAGCTGGGAAGTATTTGAATCTTTCCCAAGTGGCCACCCAGGCACTCAGCTTACAGGGAACACAGATTGGGGTGCCTGCCCACTAAGATGCCAAAAATACAGTCATAATAGATACACTAGATAAAAGGAATGAATTTCTAAACTTTTCATTGTATAACAGTCTCTCATGCTTGGATAAAAAATATTATTATTATTAAAAATGGAGCTGATAATGCTGCTTATACCTAAGGTTGTCCAACAGAAGACTCATTATGAAAATCTGTTTTCAGTTTCTTATGACTCTGCCAGACTTCAACTTTTTGGGCTGCAATTTTCCATGCAGGTGTCGTCTTCAGGCTAATGTTTAGGTTTATGTTTAGTTTAGTTTAGTTTAGTTGTTTGTTTGCAAAGTCTGCAAAAATGGTTGACCCATTTCTGAAAATGAGATTAGGGGAAAATATGGTGTTTTTCAGCTGTTAAAAAAATTCATGCTATAGTTTGGTTTAGAAGTTTTTGATGTCTCCGTGCTTTGGAATTAGGGACTTAATATTTGCTAGGCATGGCCCTTGTGTCAAGGATGGATCTTGTGTTGTTTCTCTGTGGGAGGAAAAACACCAACATTTGGCCAACTTCATAAAATCATAGAACACTAGAACTGGAAGGGACCTTGAGAGGTCACTGAGTCCAGTTCCCTGCCCTCACGGCACTACCCAGTACCATCTAAACCATCCCCAATAGATGTCTGTCTAACCTGCTCTTAAATATCTCCAGAGATGGAGATTCCACAACCTCCCTAGGCAACTTATCCCAGTGTTTTACTGCCCTGACAGTAGGAAGGTTTTCCTAATGTCCAACCTTTTAAGCCTCCCTTGCCGCAGATTAAGCCCATTGCCTCTTTTCCTATCCTCAGAGGCCAAAGAGAACAATTTTTCTCCCTCCTCCTTGTGACACCCTTTTAGATACCTGAAACAGCTATCATGTCCCCTCTCAGTCTTCTCCTTTCCACACTAAACAAGCCCAATTCTTTCAGTCTTCAGAAAGTTATGTTTCTGAAAAAGCTCAGCTCACACATGCTTCGTAGAGACTTGTTAGAGTTTGGCATCTGCATGTCCCAAAGATTCCATTTGTGATGTCCATATTCTGGCCCTTCACAGCTCTCTCATATCTATTGGACTGCATACACCTCATCTTAGAGCTGCAGGTGCTCTGCAAAACTTTTTCTGCAATTGCTACTCCCAGTTGCTATGGGACTGGGAACCAGAGAAGGCAGAAAAAGTGGAAAATGTCATTGCCTTTTAAGCCAGTCTCATGCTTTTGGGAGATCTGACTTGTGTTTTAAATGCATGAGGCTGTGCTGGGGCTGTTTGTTTATTTGAGAGAGGAATTCTGATTTTCGTTCTTGTCTGCACCTATTTCCATGGGAAACCTAAAAATCCATTATGTTGCACCTTGTGAGACTAAATTCATGTCTGCTAACACCACTTTTCATGGTTACACTCTATGTGATGGGTTGTACTAAACTCAGCAACAAGAAGATGGTAATAATGAAGCCTCTTACTAGTCTGAGCGAGAAAGCATATAGATACATTTGGGATCTCTTCTGGTGTACATCGCACTAACAATTTGATTATTGGTTTAATTTTTTTCTTATTGAGAGAAAGATTCTGTTGTACATCATCAGACAGTCCCACGCATTACAATTATTTTTTGACTATACAATTTTTTCCTTTTTTAACATTCTGGTCTGAATGAAATTATAGTAAATGCTGTCATTTTTCTCTCTCTCACAGCATAAAAATACAGCATAGATGTCTGCATACCAGTTCCCTTTTAGAAACTCTATTTTTTACGTATTTTGGAAGAAACATTATTTACTTCACCAGAACTCTTATGGTGTGTTTCTAGCATTCCCTGGCTCCGCATGGAATAGAGCAAACTTTTTGGCTTTGTTCTTTTTAAGGATGATTCATTGCAAATTAAGATGCACACCCCGGGATCTTGCTTATCTTGTCTCTTTGTACTGGTGTGAATGAGGAGCAACTCTATCCAAGTTAAGAGAATTAAACTGGTAAAACATTGGTGCATTTGAGAGAAGAGTCAGGCCCATTCGCTTTAAACATTTTTTGCTCTTTTTCTGTTTGAACATTTCTGGTGTTTGCACAACTCTATAGAACTCCTTATTTCTTTTCCGGAAAATCAGATCCCTGATAAAGGCCTAAGCTGACCCTTGTATTAACAAAAAGTACTGAAAACATGAGTTCATATCTATGTTATTTCATTTTATCCTCATTCTAATTTCTTCGTTCATGCTTCAGAGTATCCGTCTATTCTTTCTGTGCTCACACACTGGCCAAAAAAATCTTCTGCTGTACATTATTTGCTTGACTAGCTACATCCAGTAAATATATCAGAACTACTCTTTTCATCATGAACAACTTGGTGAAGGCTGACAGATTTCATGACACATGAACTTGGTCCTATTAATGTTTTCTTTGTGATCTTTAGTCTGCATAAATATTTGTACATTCTCTGACTGCTCAGAAGTTTCTTTTATAACAATCATGATTAGCATGCTCACAAAAATAGGTTAGGAATATTATTCCCATTTTATTTAAGGGGTAGGTGAAGTACGTAGAGATGTGAGTTGCAACATAGCATATGGATGACAGCAGAGTTGGAATTAGACTCCACAAACTCAGTTCTGATTTCACTTATTATAGAGTTGACTGGAGGACCTGAGCCAAAACATTGGCAAGTCTATTCTAAACCTGTCCTTTCCATTGCTTGTAACTTTCTCCCAGCCCCAAAAGTTCTGCTTTGGAAAATGTGCATGCCTTGATTTTTGCCAAAATGTGATTATATTTAGAAAGTCTAAGTGAAGTTGAACAAGCCATTTTTTATTACATGGATGTAAAAAAAAATCTTTAGACACTTTTTTGCACTCAGCTTCAATGTCTGAAGTTTAGAAATGTAACTGTCATATATCATGAGGAATTATTGATATGTTGTGTGTGAAAAACATCTGGATTGTAATTTATAATGATTCTAATAAGTTTCTGGACAGCTGTGGATAACAAATTAAAAAAAAATCCTGGTAAAAAACTGAAATGACTAAATATGTCAGAGCAAGCAAAGCATTATGAGAAATCATCAGAGCGTACAATGCCAGTTAGAGAAGGATTGCTGCTGTTTTCACTCTTCACACCAGAATATTTTGTTTAATGTTTACCTTTTATTTGTAGAGAGAGAAACATATGGAACTTTACATACTCAAAACAGAAGCAGGTGGTTACTAGGTACATTTAATTCATGGGTATAATCAGTAGAGGAGCAACATGTACATGTCCACATGATTCTTTAGCTGTCTGCTCAAGCATGCTGTTATCAAAATTGAGAAAATGATCAGAATGGAAGATAAAGATTTTTTTTCCTCCCAACATTGATGGAGCATAAACCCAAGGGGATAATCAGATGTCTAGTTTTGTATGATAAAACTATTAATTACTGTTTCATATTAAACCTGCTTTCTGCCATGAGGATATTCATCAGTTTCATGACACCAAAGCTGAATTCCAAATGGTTCAGTAGTCCCAGGAAATTTAACTTAGTACTAAGTTCAGACTCAGATGGAAGGGAAAGCAATCCTTTTATTTGTGGTGAATTTCCTTCCCAACATATTGCCAAAAAATTCGCAGTTAGAGAGGACTTTTAATCCCAGTTCAAAAAAATACTCTAAGTATAGTTTTTGCCTTTGGAATACAAAATCATGGAATAGTTTGTATTTTTTCAACAAAATTTCAGAGGAAATCTATTCCTGTCCCCCTTCATCCGAAACATTTCCAGGTGGATGATGCCCCTCCTGCTCCTGCAGCTTACTTTCCCGGAACATTGGCTGGATGTTACTGATGTCCGTGTGTAGCTGCGGGCACGGAATTCAGACTAAGGGGGATTTAAAAATGGCGGCGCCCGGGAACATGCAAATATTTAAATCCCAGGCTTCATTTGCAACTCCGGTTGCCCTAATTACCCTACCTAGCTCGAACTAACGAGCTAGGATAGACATACCCTTAGTTCCCAGAGGTGCTAGAGTAGCCTATTTATGTTCTTTGGAAAACTGGACCTTTATAATGGCTGTTCAGAAAAACTCAGTCTAACTATTACCCATGTGCCTCTATGAGGCAATGATATCACTGTTGAATCTTGTGAAAAGATAACTTAATCATACCGCTCAACGAAATCCTGCTGTTGAGTTCTCAAAACTGTCCACTTCATCTTCATCTAGGAAAACACTGACAAATATATAAACGTACACATTTTTCTTGCTGTATGGACTTCTAACAAGACAGCTTCCAAGGACATGATTAACATGAATTAATAGTGCCCCATGAAATTAGAGATGTACATATGCAACCTCTAGTTTCTAGTAGTTTAGCGTTGCAACTATCTCATGATAAACCATACTGCTCTAGTGGCTAAATATTAGGGTCATCCATCTGCTGGCTTATACTATTAATCATGCTAAAATACATTCTTCTCCCTTGCTCTTACAATCCAGTGGTGACAGTGGTGGGGAGGGTTGGTTGCTTGTTTTAATATAGACCTGTATTTACTTTATAAATCACTGACCTGCATGAAAATCAATAATTAGTGTGAATACTTAGGGCCAAATTCATTTTTTGTGTGTGTGTGTGAAATTACATTGAGCTCAGCACAGTTGTGTGTGCATAACATGGGTCTTATTCCATAAGTCTTAGTTTTCATGATCAAGTTGAGGGAAGTGGTAAATCATTTTCCCTTTTCGGTGTAGTAAAGAAACAGATTATTATTTTATTCTTCATGTAAGAATTTGGTGGAGGGCACTGGAACTAGAAGTATTTTATCTAGGCTTGGGGAGTAAAAGTATTCCTTCTGAACAAAGAGAAGCATCATCTACTCTGTGCTATCCATCTTCCTAAGTAGCACAGAGCATAGCAAATGCAGCCAATTCTGTTCATAAGGTGACATGAAGATCTTGGGATCTCCTCTCCAGACTTCACATTTCCCAAGGATCCTCATTTGGGATTTGGAAGTTGTCTCTCCCTCCCCTTCTCTCTCCACACTGCTTCTGAAAAGGAACAATTTATCATGACATAGAATAGAATCCTGCTTCATCAACAGTAGCTGTGTTGGCTTTGGATAGTGTGCAGGAGTAAACTCTCCACCTTTGTTAGAGTGAGGTGAAACAGCTCAAACACAAAAATATTAAATAAAAACATTGTTATACTTGTCTGACCATCACTACAGTAAGGCCCCAATGCTGTGCTTAACTTTACACAGTGACTTCAAAGTTAAGTGCGTGCAGGTTTCCAAGAAAGAACGGGATCTAAAATTTAGTGGGACTTGAGTGATGCACGGGTCTTGTGCTGGCTAAGCTTCTGCACAGGTCTGCATGTCACCCTCAGAGAATGAGGACTAATGAAGCTTCATGATTCTGTTTTCATAGAGCCACTTTTCTGACAGTTCAGCTGTACTCTAAATGCTACATGTTTTGTTCTGATTCTGGTTTTGTGGGCTAAAAGTTGATGTGACAGTGAATGCTTACACATTTCCCAAGTGCCCTTGTGTAATACAACATTCCTGTTCTTAGGACTTTGTAAGATCATGGCTGATAAAACTCCGTATCTGAGCATTGAAGAAATCACAAGAAAAGTATCTATTGGCCCAACACGACTGGGCCACCCTTGCTTCTACTGCAATGAAGACATAAAATTGGCAAACCTCACCATCAGACAAGGTGAGCAGATCATGTTCAATTCCGTAGAAGAGGTCAACGGGACATTGACTGTGAACTGTGGAGTAGTACGAGACAATCAGTCTCACTCCTTTACTTTGCCACTCTCCCAAGAAGGAGAGTTCTATGAATGTGAAGATGACCATATTTACACCCTGAAAGAGATTGTTGAATGGAAAATCCCCAAGAGTAGAACCCGGGTTGTGAAATTTACCAATATGTTGCACACATGGGAGTCCTCTAATCCACTTCCTGAGAATTTTGATGGCTGCCTGATTCTAGCACCAATCTATGAAGTACAAGGAGTGATGAAATGTAAGTAAAAATCTAAGTTAATCAGTTGTACCTCTGTGCCTAGCCATGTGTTCTAAACAGAATGTAAACTGCTCAAAATATCTCTTGGAGACCGTGCTTGTTTGGACAGCTAGAAGATGAGTATTCCATACCTATATTTGCTATTGCTCATAGTTTAAAAAGGGGAAGATTTTTTCTCCTCCTTCCCTCATCCTCTAATTCAAATATTGACTCTATCTTTTTATTGCAATATGCTATTATCATTTTTACTGATACTACTATTAAATTATTGTTAGAGAAGAAACTTTTTTCCAAGCAGATAAAGCAGGGAATTAAGAAATCTAGGTTTTATTCCCCAAAACAATTAGGGTACGTCTACACTGCACAGTTATTTTGGAATAAGCTACATTCCAGGGGAGCCTCAAAATTAGTCTGAGGCAAGCTTCCCTAATGTAGATGTGCTATCTCGATTTAGAGCCCCAGAGGAATAATTTAGAATGTCCCTGGTGAGGGGCTATTTTGAAATAGCAGAAGTGGAGCATCTACACATGCCTTATTTTGAAATAGCTATTTTGGAATAGGCATTATTCTTTGAAGAATGAAGTTTACAGAAGTTGGAATAAGCCATCCGTTATTTCAAAATTATTTTGAAATAACAGAATTGCGGTGTAGATGCTCGCATAGTTATTTTGGAATAATAGCTGTTATTCTGAAATAGCTTTGCTGTGTAGACGCACCCGTATTAACTAACTTTTACCATGGGGGAGTCATTTAATTTAGCCATCTGTAAAATAGATGTATTGATAAATATCTATATCACAATAGTATTAGGAGGCTTAATTATTGCATGTGAAATGTGTGGAGATCCTCTGACATATGGTGCTATTAGAATACAAGGTATTATTACTATATTATACAAGCCAAAATAGGGCTTGTCTTCACTGCTACAATTAGCTCAAATTATCATACTTGAGTTAATCCACCTGATCTACCCTAGTTGAGTGAGAGTGACTATACTGCAAAACAAAACATGAGCTACACACAGTGATAGGGTTAGCATCTGACGGGATGTAACTTAAACTACTGCATCCCTTCTACAGTACTAGCTCCAGCACAAGCAGAAAGTGAGTTTCAATTCATTCCCACTCAAGTCAACATGCTTGAGTTTTAAGTAGTGGTTCTCAGCCAGGGACACACATGCTCCTGGGGTATGCAGAAGTCTTGTAGTGGGCACAGCAGCTCATCCAGTTATTTGCCTAGTTTTACAACAAGCTACATGAAAAGCACCAGTGAAGTTAGTACAAACTAAAAATTCATACGGACAAACTGAGAAAAAAGGGAATTTTTCAACAATAGTGTGTGGTGACACTTTCGTATTTTTATGTCTTATTTTGTAAGGAAGTAGATTTTAAGTGAGGTGATACTTGGGGTACACAAGAAAAATCACACTCCTGAAAGAGATATGGGGTCTAGAAAGGTTGAGAGCTACTGATTAAAATTGTCAAATAACCCAAGCTGGAGATTTATGTGTACGTGCAATGGCTAGATTAAGAACAAAATATGAGTTCTAGCTTGAGCTAATTGAAATAACCTAACCAAATAAGCCACAACATCAGGGGCTCATACACCTGCATATCCACTAATGTGATATATGGCATCAAGTGCTAGCAGTGCCCCTCTGCCATGTATACTGGCCAAACTGGACAGTCATGGACAAGGATTAATAGACATAAGTCAGACATCAGGAATGGTAACACTGAAGTTCATTTACAAGTTTGACACTATCAGCTTGGGCTTGAATAAAGATATTAACTGGTTAACACACTACAAAAGCAATTTCCCCATTTTTGATGTTCACATTTACATGTCAAAGGCTATGAATGAAACACATGCAGCCTGACTCAATTAGCGACATTAGCACTGGTCCTACAATTGATAGGTAACTGCTTTTGTTGTTATATATACCCTGTAATTTCCACTCCAACTCTGATGTGGATTTTCCCATAAAAGCTCATATGATATATTTGTTAGTTTCTTAGGTAACAAGGGACTGCTCATTGTTCTTGAAGATACAAACTAACATGCCTACCCCCCTGTGACTTTTTTAAATTATTTGGTGTGTAAGTATATAATTTTTGTTTAAAAAAAAAAAGGGTTCATTTTGTTTTCTGAAAAATATTGGACAGTCAAAATTTTCTCAGCTTTTTCATGAAGAAAATTACATTTTTAGCCCGAGATCCTGCAAGTGCTTATGCACACAATTGCTTTTACTTTCAGTGGGATTAATCGCAGCAGTAAAGTTGAGGATGTGTGTAAGTATTTACAGGATTGACACCTTATTTCCTGCAAGGTTTTTCTGCTTTCTGCTTGTCCCAGAAGCATACTGATAGAACTCCATGAAAACTGAATTATATTAGTATTCAGCAGTATGTTTTGTAAAAATATGTTTTGTAATGGATATTTCTCTAGGGAATGATTCAAGTAAATAACGAAAGCACAGGACAAGGAAAGAAGGATGGGTAACAATTGTTTGTGCAATACACAACATTGGCTAAATGATGGATTTGAGAGATTCCATGAAGTCCAATATCCAGATAATAGGCTTAATGCATTTTTCAAAACTGTAGCTGGATTCAGTAGTTTGGGCCCCAGTCCTGCAATCCACACAGCTGTATCCCTGTGACTACTTAGATCCAAACTGCAGGATCAAAGCCCTTAGTAAAAATTAGTTTAGTTTGCTAAAAAACTACTAGAGGGTTGCGAGATAATGTGTATTATGCACTTACCTCTCAACTCTACATCCTGACATGTGCCTTACTTGTGGTTTTCATTAGCATTTGCATTTATATTTTTCATGGTATGTTCAATGTGTAAGCTACATTAAATGGCTCTGAAATGTTGATTTGAGAAATGGGTCACTCTGCAAATGATTAACTGTTTGCTTGAGAACTTCGAAAAATAGATCCTCGCTGTTTGCTAGAAGACAGTGAAGCTCTCTCTCTATAGCTTGGAAATGATGTAAGGCAAACTTGGTTCTCAGTTGCAAGATCACTGATAAGAGGGTGCTAAATGATGTTTTCAGAGGGTGTGGGGAGTAGCTATATATCTTTGTGCCCACCAACAATAAATAGATTGTTATATGTAGCTTCCTCCACAGCTCACAGATAATGTATCAGTTTGTCATATTAGATGGGATGTTGTTTTAATTCTCAGTAATCACCCTTAATTTGGCAACATTTCTTCACGCTAGTCAAAATGTTTGGCTTTGAAAGATAGTAAATTCGACAAGGGCAGAATGTGACTGCACAGATGCTGACCAGCTGTCATAATTTGTATCTAAAATGTATATTTAGTACTGATTTTAATGAGTGAAGAATGAACATATCATAAGACATGAAGTGTAATAATAGGATCTGCTATGCAGCATTCACATGTATGTAAAATAATAAACTTAATGAAGGAAGCCCTTAAATAATGTTTCGGTGTTAACTGTCTTTAATACTTGTTTGTGATTTATTTTCAAACTACCCTTAATAGTATCCTCAATTTTGCATCTGTAATTACTTACACATACAATTTTACAAGTGCAATTATAAGAATAGGAATTGCAACACCGAATCAGACCATCTAGTGTAGTGTCCTGTCTCTGACCATGGCCAGTATGAGATGCTTCAGAGGAAGGTTCAAAAACTAGAAATTCTAGGGATAAGCTAACTATGTACCCTGGGACATTAAAGTTTATATCTCTTCTTTTAAAAGAGCAGGATTGGTTTTTATCTTAGTGTAATTGTAGATGTTTTCATTATCCATATTAATATCAATACCTTTCTTAATCCTTCTAGTTTTTGGCCTCAGCAACATCTTGAGGCAGTGAGTTCTGTGAGTTAATTATGCATTCAATTTATTCCCATTCAATTGGTATTATTAGAGAAAGTAAACTGGGACACCTTATTGAGCTTTTCTGTGCGTTTTGTTATTTGGTATACTTCTATTGTCTCATCTCATTTATCTCCTCTTTCATTAAATATCTAACTGCCTAATTGCTCCTGGAAATTAAATAGACTTTTAATATTATAATATTTGCCTTTGTAAGTGGTTTACACTGGAAAATTGTGGACACAATGGTTTTACTACACCTTAGAGGGGTTTTTAAAGATGTTTCTTGAAGTATGTGTATTTCATTCCAACATCAGTGTGAAAACAAAAATTGACTCTTACCTCTTTTCCTTTCAGTTCGAAGGGATATAGTTCATATCCTCTCTGATCTAGACATTGAAGTCAAAGATGTAACAGACTGTTATGATATTAACTGTTTCCTTCAACCATTATCTATGGTAGATGTATTTGAGAGGACAAGCAAAGAATTTCCTATGGTTGCTGAGGTAATAGAAGGGCCGACAGGAAGGCAACAACCTTACAATTTATTATATCCTGGGAAAGAAATAGTCATTCACAAAAAGTACCAGGCGACCAGAATCCTTGCATCTGAGATCAGAAGTGATTCCTGCAAAAGACACTTTTTAATTCCTGCCAGCTACAAAGGAAAGTTCAAGAGAAGACCTCGGGAGTTTCCAACTGCCTACGACCTGGAGCTAGCAAGAAGTGACAAGGAGCAGCTTCATGTTGTAGCAACTAAAGCCTTTGATTCTCCCCATGCAGAATTGTTTTCTGTTTCTGTTGGAGACCAGTTTCTAGTTCAACAGTGCCAGATGGGTGAAGTCATATATCAGGGAAGGAAAAAAGTGATAGATGTTTTAGCCTGTGAACAAATACTAAGTGAGGCCTATAAGGAAGTGCTTCTCCCTATGTACATGGAAGGTAGCTTTGTAGAAGTGATTCATGACAAGAAACAGTACCAGCTTTCAGAACTTTGCAAAGAATTCCATTTGCCCTTTAATGTCAAAGTGTCTGTGAGGGATCTCTCCATTGAGGAGGATGTCTTGGCTGCCGTGCCTGGACTGCGGCTTGAAGAAGAAATCACCGACTCTTACTTGCTAATCAGCAGTGCTGGTGATCCTGCGGACAGCTGGGAAATTCCTGTGTATCGTCTAAATATGTCTGTTCAGTTGCTCAGCAAACCAGCTGAAGAAACTGTATCTGCCCCAACTAGGACTATTGTGGAAGAGATCAGTGAAGAACAATATTACATGGTGAGGAGATTTGAAAACCAAGCCCTACACCCACCCCCCAGGCCTCCGAAAAAGCCAACAACACTGGGATCAAAACCTCTTCTCACTGTATCACAGCAAATTGTGCCGGATGCACCAGAGGCTTCGAAGGTAGGACGTTTTTTCTATTATATATCCTTTGGCACGTGTTTGAGATACTTGCCAATGTGTTTTATGTTAAACTCATTTATCTTCATGCAGCATTTGAGATGGCAGTGACAGACAAATAAGCTGCTGTACATCTTGACTAGAACTTAACATTGAGGGCTGAATCCTCCGTTACTATGAATTGATCAGTGGCCTGTTGAAGATCTGGCCTTCATGTGTTGGGGTTGACTAATCCTTTGTTTCACTGGTGTATAAGTGAAGGGACAATCTGGAGTTTTACAGTTTTAAGCAGGGTCTGAATGAATTCCCCTGACAGCTAGCTGAGAGCGGGAGAGGATTGAGGAGCAAACTACTACATTGACCTATTCTTCCTTAGACATCTAGCTGAGTGAGGTTGCTCAACTTTGGCTGATGTTGGGTTACAAATCACTTTAGAACTGAATACAGGGGTAGTGAACTGCTGTTTCAATGTTGTTTACACTATTGTATGAATATAGGGAATCAGGACTGTGCTTAACCTGTCTCAAACGAGAGGATCACCCTCAGCTGAAAGGATCTCACTAAGCCAAATTCCTGTGAAAATAAGAGGGGTAGGGACAGGTATCCCAGCCAGGTGGTGTGGAGGGACTGTCTCTAGGGGACCCTGGATTAGTTTAACCAGTTCTCCCCACTGTTCAAAGAAAGAGCTAAATAGGCATAGTTAGGCCTCTTCATTATTTTCAATGCCCAGTCAGAACTGAAATCAGATATTCTGGGACTATGTTTCTGCCCACCTGAAGGAGCTAAAAATCACTGAGAACTGAGATCACTTGAGATGAGGCAGTTTTTTCAACCTCACTTGAAAAAAGCTGAAAATTAATAAGAGACTGGTGTGCAGAGATCACAGCAGAGAAGCAGGTGGTAGCAGAAAGTGACTGACTGACAGACAGTCAGCTGGTGAATAAGTGGCTGATGAGGAGGTGAGCAGAATGAGCGACTGGCCAGGTGGTGAGGAACAGAGGCTGGTGGGCAGGCCAGGAGGCAAAGAGCAGTGGCTGGCAGGACAGCCAGGCAGTAAGGATCCATGGCTGGTGGGGCAGCCAGTGGAGAGGAACTGCAGTCGATGGGTGGTTAGCCAGAGCAATTGCTCAGATGATGGAGCAAGCACGGTGCCTTCTTCCCTGGGTGGGAGATGAACTCACACAGATGTGCCTCTGAACCCTGGGTCCTCTCTGATGAAGGGCAAATATTGTGCCCATCTATAAAAAGGGGAATAAGAACAACCCAGGAAACTACAGACCGGTCAGTTTAATGTCTGTCCCAGGGAAGATAATGGAGCAGGTAATTAAGGAAATCATATGCAAACACTTGGAAGGTAATAAAGTGATAGGGAATAGCCAGCATGGGTTTGTGAAGAACAAGTCATGCCAAACTAATCTGATAGCTTTCTTTGATAAGATAACGAGCCTTGTGGATAAGGGAGAAGCGGTGGATGTCATATACCTAGACTTTAGTAAGGCATTTGATACAGTCTCGCATGATATTCTTATTGATAAACTAGGCAAATATAACTTAGATAGGGCCACAATAAGATGGGTGCATAATTGGCTGGATAACCGTAGTCAGAGAGTGGTTGTTAACGGTGCTAAATCCTGCTGGAAAGGGATAACAAGTGGAGTTCCTCAAGGGTCTGTTTTGGGACCCATACTGTTCAATATCTTCATCAATGATGTAGATATTGGGATAGAGAGTACGCTTATTAAGTTTGCAGATGATACCAAACTGGGTGGGGTTGCAACTTCTTTGGAGGAGAGGGACATAATTCAAAATGACCTTAGCAAGTTAGAGAAATGGTCAGAGGTAAACAGGATGAGGTTTAATAAAGAGAAATGCAAAGTGCTCCACTTAGGAAGGAACAATCAGTTCCATACATACAAGATGGGAAGCGACTGTCTAGGAAGGAGCATGGCGGAAAGAGATCTAGGGGTCATAGTGGACCACAAGTTGAATATGAGTCAACAGTGTGATGCTGTTGCAAAAAAAGCAAATATGATTCTAGGTTGTATCAACAGGTGTGTTGTAAGCAAAACTCGTGAAGTCATTCTGCCGCTCTACTCTGCACTAGTTAGGCCTCAGCTGGAGTACTGTGTCCAGTTCTGGGCGCCACATTTCAAGAAAGATGTGGAGAAATTGGAAAGGGTACAGAGAAGAGCAACAAGAATGATTAAAGGTCTAGAGAACATGACCTATGAAGCCAGGCTTCATGAACTGGGCTTGTTTAGTTTGGAAAAAAGAAGATTAAGGGGGGACATGATAGCGGTTTTCAAATATCTAAAAGGGTGTCACAAGGAGGAAGGAGAAAATTTGTTCCTCTTGGTTTCTGAGGACAGGACAAGGAGTAATGGGCTTAAAGTGCAGCAGGGGAGGTTTAGATTGGACATTAGGAAAAAATTCCTAACTGTCAGGGTGGTCAAATATTGGAATAAATTGCCAAGGGAGGTGGTGGAATCTCCCTCTCTGGAGATATTTAAGAACAGGTTAGATAGACATCTGTCAGGGATGGTGTAGACAGAGCTTGATCCTGCCTTGAGGGCGGGGGGCTGGACTCGATGACCTCTCGAGGTCCCTTCCAGTCCTATTATTCTATGATTCTATGATTAAATTAACTGCTTGCTTACACTGATTATTCAGTTTGTGTAGGGGAGTTGAGGTGTTGGCCTAAATTGCCCTGTAGGCAGGCAACCACTGTGAGTGAGGTATGGTGAAGGAGCAGAGATGGACACAGAAAAGAAACTTTTGGTTGAAGAACTCAAGGACATGAGGCAGGATGTATTGCCCCATGGATGCTCACAGCCCTGCATGTGGAATTTTCCCCAATTAATGTTGGGTGACTTCCTTCCTTTCATTAAAAGTTTATTTTCTACTCTCAGACTCTCTGCTTGCGAGTGGGGAAGTTTTGCCTCTCAGAGGCTCCCAGGGATGGTGTGTAATTTTTCGTGGTTGCTGGGTGGGAGCTTGAGCTGGTTCTGTGCTGTATCAATGGAAAGGAATCCCTAGATAGCGAACCCAGACCAGGTTGCTGCTGGCTCCACCTGGCAGAAGGGTTACACAGCTACATGCATACCAATGAGAAATACAAGTTGATTTGATGCATTTACAGAGAATTTTGTTCAAATAGAAAACACAGAATTTTAATTTGAAATTTACACAGACATTCTGCATAGATATTTTTGTTCTGAACATTTTGCATTGTACCCAAACAGCATGTAAAGTACAGCTGCACACCAGCTCCCTGCCTCCCCTCACAACCCAGATGAGCCACATGCTGGCTCCTGACTCCCTGCTTTCAGCCCAACTGAGACACAAACTAGCTCCGAGGCCCCCAGCCTCCCGCAGCATTGGGACTTTCTGATCCTGGACCATTCGTGGGCATGCCAGACCACGAATGTTGCTGGGCCAGAGAATCACGGATTTTAGAAGTGCAACTGTAACCCACACGCCTAGTGTGGTTACTGAGTACTGCAAGTGGCACCTAGACCACCGCAACAGTTAAGATCTAGAGACCTCTACAGCATGGGCTGGGAGCCAGCTGGCTTTTAGCTCAGAGGGTAGAGGCTCCTATAGTCACCTCCCAAAGTCCCAGGTTCAAATCTGCCTTGGTGGTGGTTACACAACCACATCTCCAGAAGGTGACTACAGATTGAGCTTCTCTAATTTGGCACTCTCTAGTCTCACAACATCCCTGGTCCAGCATGATTTTAGTTAGCTGCAGGTACCCTAATCATGGGCTGGCCAAGTTTCCTGTGGTCCCATATAGTTTGCTTACAGCCACCAGTCCTGGCTTTCAGTGTTCTGTGCTGTTGTTTACCTCTCATTTACCCCTAAATAAGAACATAAGAACAGCAGTACTGGGTCAGACCAAAGGTCCATCTAGCCCAGTATCCTGTCTACCAACAGTGGCCAGCACCAGGTGATCAAGTGATTTGTCTCCTGCCATCCCTCTCCAGCCTCTGACATACAGAGGCTAAGGACACCATTTTATCCCCTGGCTAATAGCCTTTTATGGACCTAACCTCCATGAAATTATCTAGCTTCTCTTTAAACTCTATTATAGTCCTAGTCTTCACAGCCTCCTCTGGCAAGGAGTTCCACAGGTTGACTACACGCTGTGTGAAGAAGAACTTTCTTTTATTAGTTTTAAACCTGCTACCCATTAATTTCATTTGGTGTCCTCTAGTTCTTCTATTTAGGGAACTAATAAATAACTTTTCTTTATCGGCCCTTTCCACACCACTCATGATTTTATAGACCTCTATCATATCCCCCCTCAGTCTCCTCTTTTCTAAACTAAAAAGTCCCAGTCGCTTTAACCTCTCCTCATATGGGACCCATTCCAAACCCCTAATCATTTTAGTTGCCCTTTTCTGAACCCTTTCCAAGACCAAAATATCTTTTTTGAGGTGAGGAGACCACATCTGTACACAGTATTCAAGATGTAGGCGTACCATAGTTTTATACAGGGGCAGTAAGATATTCTGTGTCTTATTTTCTATCCCTTTCCTAATAATTCCTAGCATCCTATTTGCCTTTTTGACCACCACTGCACACTGTGTGGAAGTTTTCAGAGAACTGTCCATGATAACTCCAAGATCTCTTTCCTGATTTGTCGTAGCCAAATTTGCCCCCATCATACTGTACGTACAGTTGGGGTTATTTTTCCCGATGTGCATTACTTTACACTTATCCACATTAAATTTCATTTGCCATTTTGTTGCCCAATCACTCAGTTTGGTGAGATCTTCTTGGAGTCCCTCACAGTCTGCTTCTGTCTTGACTATCCTAAACAGTTTGGTATCATCTGCAAACTTTACTACCTCACTGCTTACCCCTTTCTCCAGATCATTTATGAATAAGTTGAAAAGGATTGGTCCCAGGACTGACCCTCGGGGTACACCACTAGTTACCCCTCTCCAATCTGAAAATTTACCATTTATTCCTACCCTTTGTTTCCTGTCTTTTAACCA